GCCGGGAACGGCCGTTGGGGCCGTTGGGGCGGCGGCAGGATGTGCCTTGCGGCCGGACCTCGGTGGTTGGCGAGTGTCGCAGGGAGTCTCTCAGGGCTGCGAGGGAGCACTCCCTACGTGCAGTGGCTGAAGGAGCGACGGCAGGACGGGGAAAAACAAATATTTATAAATAAAGAAGTGGTGGTTTATTGGCCCCTGTGTCCCGTGTGACCCTGTGAGGGACTGGCACTGGTTTTGGGGCAACTCCCACTGCATCAATTCACCGTGCGGAATCAATTTGTAGCCATTAGTGATCCTGATCGTTACTGGATGCTGATCAAGACCTTGTGAGACATGATCATCCTAGAATACTCGGTTTCCAGCTCAGCTGTCATACAGTACTTTTTTTTTTCAGAATATTTTATGTCATGTGTTAAAGGAGCTGCTTTTGTTGCAATTTAAACCTAAAATGATAGACACTAAAACATTAGAAGTGACTAAAAAATGGTTTTAAAAGTGCACATAGTTTAAGGCAAGCATCTTGAAACAAAGCAAATGCCAATTAGAGAAGAAAACAATGTGAAAACTTTAATACAACTTTTATTTGGCCCTCTTTTCAACTATTTTTTTACCTTTACATCAAAGTACTTGTTTATTATAGAATAATATATATATAATAATATAAAGTATTTGTTCTTCAGATTAATATGTTTCAGACAGTGTAGGATTAAAGGAGTAACCCTTATTTTAGAGATCTCAACATTTGCAGGATCTTTTAACGTACTGGTTATCATATATGTTTGTGAGAAATGGAATAAGCAGATATTTATGTATGCTTTTCACAGTAAATTCCATCCTTGTCATCTTACCAATATTAGTAGGTATGTCATAGTGTTATCCGAAGGTAGAAAATATGTGAATAAAAACTTGGCAAAAGATCAGTTTGTGGTTTACTGGGAGTTTATTTAAACTAAAATTCAGTTATTTTGTGTGGACAGAAAGAGGAAGCAGCAGCAACAGCAACTGGCTTGCAGCCCACATGCATAGTAAAGGAAAAGGAGTTGCAGAGCAAAGCCTGGGATTTTAGGCTAACTAACAACTGAAGTGCACATAGTAACCAAACTCTCACTGCAAAGTTCCGGCCTTCTCTTTACATCATCCTGCCTTGGTCTCCCATTGTTTATTGAATGAGACCTGAAAGCTAGATAAGCCTTAATTGTGGGAAAAGATCTTGCTTTAATTATAGACTGAAGATCCTCTTCTGAGGTGTAGTACACATTAATGTTGTTAAGGCCACAGTTCCATTTAAATTGATAGTGTAGTTGACAGCTTTGTTAGGAAGAAAAGTCACAAGAGATAAACCTTTAAATTCTCATCTTATAGATACACGTTACAGTATCTAGCTGGTTGTCCTTTTGCGCCGTGTTTCCTACCCTCGAAAATTTCTAATGAGGATTAAGGTTTCTGTTTTAAGGTGTTTAAGGTGATAAAATGTGCAATCAGAGCTGGGTCCAAGTGTGGGCAAGGCAAGGACTAGGAGCTGCATACTCCTAGGGAGCTGGAGACTGTGTCTCTCTGCAGCTGCCCTACCTCTTTTTTAGCACCAAGCGCAAACAAGGTGGGCTCTTCAACTCCCTATCTCTTGTCCATTCCTTCTCTTTTCCTAGAGATCAGAGATCTTTAGAGATCCTAAAGATTAGAGATCCTAGAGATTAGAGATCCTTACCTTCAGAATGTCAAATCTTTTTACCTGCTGTGTGCTAATTTATCCATATTTAGCATTTTGTAGCATGACATAAAATTTTTAGTCTTTTTTCAAGTATAGTGAGGCATAGCTCTTTGCCATTTTCTTAAAAAGAAAATGCACCTTCCCTCCCCCCTGGAAAAAACAAAAAACAAAAAACACAATGCTGACATAGATTACATAATAGCTTTCCATAATACAGTGTTTGCCAGAACAAGTATTTTGGAGCATTGAAATAGTTAAGTAATGGTTAAGTAATAGTTAGTGGAACTATCTAAAATTGGTGGCCTGAACTGGCTAAGCTATATTAGCAAAAAGCGCTTTTGGTAATACGCTCTTTGTTACTGTTTTGGTCTACATTATTAAGTTGGTTAGTGGTGTGACTACTGTAACCTGTCTCTACCACTATACTGTCAATTCTTAGTTCACAGATTGATCCTTATATAGAAAATGAAAAGGCATATAAAGAAAATCAGTTAGTAGTAAAACTTAACTTGAAAGTCTTTTTTTTTTCTCCTGTCGGAAATGTGACACATATTCTTCAGAAGTATATATTTATATAAAATATATCTGCTGCTGAATGTCTCTTTGAGTGCTGCATTTTCATGGAGAGGATATAAGATCCTGATTTTGGACGGATATCACTAAAGGATTTAGTACAGCATTTTGCAACATTAATTAAAGTTGGCCTGGATCCAAATGCTGATACATAGATTGAAAACTAACTAAAATTTAATAAAAAGTCATGATTTATTGCAGCGTACCAGGATTTGCAGAAATATCTAATGGTGCAACACAGGGAAAAGCTTTTTGTTTGTGGGTAAGCTGGAGCACATAGAAAGTTACTGCTGAGTAGCTGACATTCAAATCCATGGGTCAGCTATCTATCCTAAATCTTAGCATGTAATCCTTACTGTCCAGTCTCTCAATAATCTCATGTGCTGAAAAAGAATGTAACTCCCCCTTTCCCTAGCTCTGTGCTCAAGGATCCTAGGCCCATCTCTGATATTGCACAGCTACATAACCTTGGCTTGGACTTCCAAGGACATAGCTAAATTGTGAATAAAAATGTCAGAAAGCCTGTATAGTAAGAAGAGAGGTAGGTAGGTAGGTAGGTAGGTAGGTAGGTAGGTAGATAGGAAGGAAAGGTTTCTTACCATGTGAAATAAGAACAGTAAAATTTGAGACATTTCCTTCAGATAAGGTCTGCTAACACATTAGGTGTCCATTAGCTATTAATCTGAAAAATTACACAATTTTCAGGACTTGTCTGCATCAATCATAAATGTAATGAGTATAAATCAGTCTGCAAGTCCATTTCAAGATGCTGTGTGTGTGAATATATATATGTATGTGTGTGTATGATGCTTACACTCTGTTTATACCTTCCAAAATCATGTAACAAATGAACCGTTTGATTGTAAGAGCAGTTGCTTTTCCACTTATTATTCTTACTCTTTTCTTATTACGTCTTATTTCCATTATTGGAATAATTTGCATGAAAAAAATACTGCAGAAATGGATGGCACTCATTTCAGTCTTGCATACCTGTCTTTTAAAATTTTGCCTTTAAACTTAATTTTTTAAGGCATGCTGTGTCGTTTATGGAAACTGATTCTTTATGGGAATTTTCCACTATAAATCATACCTAATGCACTTCGTTCCAGTTTTTAGGGGTTTCTGAGATTACAATCTAAACAGTAGATGGGGCTGCTCTCTAGTCTGACTTCATAGATCAGCGTGGCAGTAAACCACGAATGCACAGATGTTTTTTAAAAAGGTATTAATTTCATCCCAAAGACAATATTCCTTTCCAAAAATGCCCATTTTTCTTCACTAAGGACAGTTGAGATCGTCTAAGAAAATCTCCTCAGAAGTAAATGTCTGAAGTTTGGCAACATGAATCTTTGTCCTGGCAATGGAGTTGGCTCATTCTGCCAGATGCCAAGTCCACCATCATTTGAAATCCTGAGGCGAGGTGACTAGAAGCCCAATACTTACATGGACATCCCTTTGAAGATTCACAGCTGACTTGTCCTCATCCTCTGTAATGCTTCCTCTT